ACATGCAAAAGTCAGGCTTCTTACCTCAAACCTATTGCCCTGAAATTATCATATAGAACAGGAGTGAGAGGCAAAATTTGTGAGTTGGAAATATGAAATCATGTATTAAATGCAGGGTGTGAGTTATAAGGGTGGGCAAGATGATTCCATACTGAAAGGCACAGGCAGGGATGATCCAGGCAGGCCTAGGAAGTGAAGAAATCTTGCAAAAAGAAAAAAAAGAAAAAAAAAAGTGAGCAATAAGGGGGAGGAAGAAAGGTATTTCTCTAGAATTCCTCGATTTACACTCATTTGGTTTATTTCTAACTAGTGATTAAGATTAAGTGATTTTCTCTCTGTGTGTGTGTGTGTGTAGATTATTTTAGAGGGAAAGGGAAATGAATTATTAAGCTTTCTTTTCTCTTTTTAAGACGTTGTTTTTTCTCTGAAAAAGAATGTAAACATAGAATAAAGCAAACCTGAATTTTCTATAGGCTCAGATCTCTTAAGAAACATTTTCTGTCATTTGGCTTGAGTTTGAAAAATTGACATTCACTGGAATATTTTATTCTAGATACTAATTTACAAAAAGTGGTGGAGGTAACCATAACACTTCCACAAAATTGATATTAGCGATTAATTCAGGCTTAGCCCAGTAATGTTAACATAAAAAACAAAAACAAAAAAACTATTGAAACCTGTAAAGAATTTTTGTGAGTTGATTTGAGCCAAACTGTTGATATATGCTGGAAGCAGAACCTCAACGAATTGAGATAACGCTCTGGAGAACGGCGGGTTACATCTGAATTTATACACTGCAATCAAAGGAAAGGGACATAGGTGGGTTACATAAAATCCGTTGGTGATAGATTAGAGAAGTGGGAGAAAGCTAAGCAGGAAAACCCCTGGGATTGGATAAAAAATAAAAAGATGACACATACTTAGGTGGGTGAAGGGACAATTAACATGATAATGAAGGAATTTGTGGTATCTGTCCTGGCGCCTAGCACCTTAGGTTGTGCCCCAAGGGGTCCCGAGAAAGGGAAGTTACAAGTTCCCTAGACATTTCAAGGGTATGTTATCATAGATGCAAAAAGACAGATAGGCGCAGTTAAGGAAAAGGTTGAGCCTGTCAGTGCAGATACTGGCTTAGGATGTAACTGCCCACCATAACTGCTTTTAGTTAGTTTAATTTCAGACCATCTTTTGTAGTTACTTTAGGTCTCTGAGTTTGCAAGACTGCCATGCAGGCCTCCCCCGAGCTTGTCAGGTCAGCATGTGGCCGCTTTCGTCCACAGTACCTAGTTCAAAGTAAGTGCTCACTAAAGGACAGGCACCACAATAAGAGAAGACACTGGGGTTGGTGATGAGTGTGGCAGATAGTTTTCATATCTAGTGACCAGATTTCCCATGTCTTTTTTGCACATTTTTCTTTCTTGGTAAAAAAAGGTAATGTTTTATTAATAGTATACCTAAACTGGTTGCCAATTCACATATAAATAAAACATTGCATACTTTAAGACAAGAATTAGGAAATACAGACACCTATGTAAAAGCTGGTTTTATTATCAATGATTTATGTTTGATTCCTATTAGCAAATGTAATTAAAAATAAACAAAATTACTTTTCCTGTAAGTAGAAGATACCTTTAAAAAATTTCGTGTATGGCACAGTAGCAGGCCTGCAAACAAGAGTGAAATACAAGGTTTGCTCTCAAGGAACTTACATGGGAAGCATGGAGAAGATAAGACAGAATACTATTGGTGGTATAGTACTAATCATAGTAGTTAACATGAGAAGGCTAAAAAGGACTAATTCCAAGGTAACCCTGATATTCTGGGGGGCTAGCAATCTGAATCTGTGCCAGGAAGCCCAGTGTACATTCTTGATAACCTATAATTAAGTCACTGCCTCTTTCCCAGAAACTGGTTTTACAGAACGTGTTATCTAAATCTTCGTATTTCCTTGAGGCCAAAACGGTGAACAGTGCTTAGCCCCAAAGGAGGGGTTGGGGGTAGGGGGGAAGGAAACTATTAATGCTGGCACCTGGCCAGACCATCAGATAAGGTTTCAAGACCCCAATACCTGGGGCCTTTTTACAAAACCCTTGAAAAGACCGGAAGTATAATCCATATTTGTGGGACAAAGACCCCAGAAAGATATAAAAGAGAAGCCCCCTTGCATATTACTTTACTTAGATTTGGGAAGTTATTCTGCTGAATCTGCTGGTATATTAAACAGTGTAACTCCTTTTCTCTAAAAGCGTTGCTTGGTTTTTCTCTGGCAAGAGTATTAATAATGGCAGTAGCAGCAACTAATAGTTATTGAGTACTTACTAAATGGGCCCTACACATGTTTTATATGAATTACCTTATTTAGCTATTATAAAATCTATGATATTGGTACTTTAATCAGCATTAGATTTAACCATATATAATAGTTAATCCCAAATAAGTATATTAAAATAAAAATTTACTTTTAAAAATTAAATTTATTGGTGTGACATTGGTTAACAAAATTACACAGGTTTCAGGTGTACAAGTTTACAACAACAACAAATTTACTTTTCTTTTATGTAAAAAGACCCAGAGGTGGGTGGTTCAGGGCTGGGATGGTGTCTTTTGGGTCATCACAGATCCAGGCTTCTTCTGTCTCTTCCACCACCTTGGGATAGGGCTTGGGTGCTCATATCCAGGATGGCTGCTAGAGTTCCAGATACCTTATCTGAGTTCTAGATAGAAAAAAAGAAGAAGAATTGGGTGTACAGCAAAAGGGAACAACTTCCTAGATAAGTAATTGTTTTTATTTTTAAAAAAATATATTTTATTGATTTTTTACAGATAGGAAGGGAGAGTTAGAAACATGTGTGAGAGAGAAACATCAACTCAGCTCCCTCATGCACACCCCCTACTGGGTATGTGCCCGCAACCAATGTACATGACCTTGACCGGAATCGAACCTGGGACCCTTCAGTCCGCAGGCCGACGCTCTATCCACTGAGCCAAACCCGTTAGGGCTAGATAAGTAATTGTTTTTAAATATATATATATATATATATATATATATATATATATATATATATATATATATATATATATTTTATTTATTTTTTATAGAGAGGAAGGGAGAAGGATAGAGAGTTAGAAACATTGATGAGAGAGAAACTTAGATCAGCTGCCTCCTGCACACCTCCTACTGGGGATGTGCCTGCAACCAAGGTACATGCCCTTGAGTGATTGAACCCAGGATCCTTCAGTCCTCAGGCTGATGCTCTATCCACTGAGCCAAACCAGTGAGGGCTAAGTAATTGTTTTTCGAGAAATACTGGAGCCCTCATATGAAGACTTCCACTTACATCTTATTTTCTATCTGAAGTTGCAAGGAAGAGCATATATACTAGTACACTCCTTCAGCTGGATACATTGCCAGCCCATCCCCCAAATCAGGGTTCTATTAGCAAAGAAGTAGGGGAGAATGGTCATTGAGAAGAAAATAAGCAGTTTCTCCACACATTTTATCACTCTTCAATCAGTAGATGAGAAAGTGAGGATTAGGAATTGAAGAAAATTTACCACCACTTGGTAGGACTAGGATTGTCATTCAGGCATCTAGCTCTGCTGTCTTTGAGTCTAAACTCTATGCAAACTACACTCACAAACTGCATGGGAATATAAGACAAACCTCTCACAGAGATGGGAAAATGCTTAGAAGCATTAACTTAGAGCACATGTGTCAAACACAAGGCCCGCGGGCCAAATCCGTCCCGCCAGGCCTTGCAATGTGGCTCGCACCGCGCTGTCATCACTGCACTCCACTGCGTTTCCATCACAATGACAGTTTATGACTGTTCAGTAAACCATTCGGCCTGCGATTTAGGCTGGATTTTAGATTTTGGCCCCTTCTCTGATTGAGTTAGACACCCCTAACTTAGAGCCTTTTACATATTTTTAAAATTCTTACTAAGGTTTTAACATTTTCCTTTCAAATATGGCACTGCTGTAATGATGTCCAATTAGTTCCCTTTGAACATTTGAACAATTCAAATAGAACACATCTGATTTTTAAAACAGGGCTATGTAGTTGCTTTCCATGCCTCCAGGTGCGAGTCATATTGATATAGGAGAGGTAGGAGAATGATCGCAGGCACTCAGAGGAATCTGGAGCACTAAGGCCAGAGTCTTTCCCATCAATTGCTCTTGATGCATTTTTAGCTCCGTGTAGAGACATCATGTTCATCACTATCCTTAGATTCCATGACAAGATCCAGATCAGGAAAATAGAAGAAAAAATGAATGCTTTTCATTCATGCTCAACAAGATGAGTGCTGTAGTGTTTATTCTGAGGGTCAGCAAAGAATAGTGGGGCCCTAGCTGGTTTGTCTCACTGGTTAGTGTCAGCCATGAACTGAGGGGTTGAGGGTTTAATTCTATTATAGTCAAGCGCATGTACCTTGGTTGCAGTCTTGATCCCTGACTCTGTTTCATGCAGGAGGCAACCAATTGATATGTCTCTCTCACATTGATGTTTCTCTCTCCCTCCCTTCTATTCTGTTTAAAAATCAATGGGGTGGGGGTGGGGGATATCCGGGGGTGAGGATTAACAACAAAGACAATAGTGGAAAGAATCCTAGGTTCTAGATTTGGCTTTGCTGCTAATGAGCTGTGTGATCTCAAGCAAATAATTTTGCCTCACTGGACTTTGCTCCTTCCTCTTTATTTTATTTTAATTTTTCCCCTTTTTTACTTTTTTGGGGGAAAGGGATAGATTTTGAGGAGGAAAAACATGAGGCAGAGAAATATGGAATAGAAAATAAATACAAATAAAAGCTGTTTTGTTAATTGTTTTATAAGCACAACTAATGAGTTCAGAGAATGCCCTATGCAAAACAACACTTAGAAAGGTTCACGATCAAGGTGTTCCTTTGAGCAAGGTTGAAGATTTCAGTCTCTGGTATTTGGAATTTAGGCTGCAATCCTTATTTTTTGGATGAATCACTGGGTTTGTGGTACAATTCATGCTTTTAAGTAGATTTGAACAGGAGAATCACCAGTTGGCCCAGGTAGAAATAGATGAAGTGTTTGGTTTTATGTGTCATATAACTACCAAAGTTCTTCTCTACGATTCAGTGCCAGGGGGGTTGTACTTCTTATCAAACTTCTCTAATATGCACCGCAATATCCTTCTCTATGTTATATCTCTCTAACACCTGAGTAGCACCTTCCACGGAGTCCTGTTGCATCTCCCCTGACAAACTGGCATTTTTGATCACCGCCTTGTGGTCACACATGGTTACAGTGGAGCAGGGCTGGCCACTGCACAAGTCCCCGGGGGAGGGCCTGGTGGGGCTCAGACCAGCAGGAGAAGTCACAGCTACCCAAGACATGATGCATCTCCTCCTCCTTTTTAAAGTGAAGGTGTCTTCAATTGTGCCCTTTCAATTATAATAGTTTACAGTCATTAGCTACTCTAGATTCAGTTGCCTTTCTTTGGAAAGAGTTTAGACGTTTATTTCAGAGGACCTGGATCAACTCAGCTCTGCCTTGTATAAGCTGTGTGACTGCACAAGTCACCTAACATTTTACTTTATATATTTTTAAAATATATATTTTATTGATTTTTATACAGAGAGGAAGGGAGAGAGATAGTTAAAAACATCGATGAGAGAAAGTCATTGATCAGCTGCCTCTTGCACACCCCCTACTGGGGATATGCCCGCAACCAAGGTACATGCCCTTGACCGGAATCGAACCCGGACCCTTCAGTTCCCAAGCCGGCGCTCTATCCATTGAGCCAAACCGGTCCCGGCAAGTCACCTAACATTTTAAATTTCGGTTTTCTTATGTATAAAATGGGAATAAGAAAATACATCCTGTAGAGCTATTGTGATGATTAAAATAAATAATATACATACTGTGAACGAAAGTAGCCACATGCTAACCTGACAAGCTCCTGCGTGGCAATGTTGCAAATTCAGAGAACTAAAATAACCACAAAAGATGGTTTGAAAATTAAATATTTTAACTACAAACAGGTTATAGTGGGTAGTCATGTCCTAGGCCTGTATTTTCGCTGACAAAGATCAACTTAGATCTTTTTTACTGTGCCCATTTGCCGTTTGGCCTCTAAGATAACATATCTGTGAGATATCTGGTTAACTTGTAACTTCCTTTTTTCCGGAGCCCCTGGGGCACAACTAAATGTGGTGGGCGCCAGGACAGATGCCTCAAATTCCTTCTTTATCATGTTAATTGTCCCTGCTCTCATCTAAGTAAGCATCCATCATTTTACTTTTTATCCAATCCCAGGGGTTTCCCACTGCTTTGCTTTATCCCACCTCCTTAACCCATCACCAATGAATTTCATGTAACCCACCTATGCCCCTCCTTTGATTGCAATGTATAAATAGAAACGTAACCTGCCATTCTTTGGATCATTATCTCAATCCATTGAGGTTCTGCTGCCCGGCATATGTTGGCATATTTTGACAGTTTGGCTCAAATAAACTCACTAAAATTCTTTACAGGTTTCAATGTTTGTCTTTTTTTTTTTTTTTTTTTTTTTTTTTAACAATACAAGCACTTTGTATAGTAGTAGATGATCAATAAATGTGATCAGTAAATGAAATTAACCTATCCTCTCACTTCCTTTTAGTACTTAATGCGTAATATATGCTTTAAATCCAAATGAAAGATAGGTAGATAAATAGAGAGTTATGCTGAAACTGGTTTGGATCAGTGGATGGAGCGTTGGCCTGTGGACTGAAGGGTCCCGGGTTCAATTCCGGTCAAGGGTATGTATCTTGGTTGTGGGCACATCCCCAGTTGGGGGATGTGCAGGAGGCAACTGATCAATGATTCTCTCTCATCATTGATGTTTCTACGTCTCTCTCCCTTTCCCTTATTCTCTGTAATCAATAAAAATATACATTAAAAAAATAGAGAGTTAGAGAGATGGTTTGATGTCATCTCTCTCTGCATAGGGATTTGACGATAAGAAAGAAGGGGTTTGGTTTGCAGCTTATATCCATGGATCAAAATGTTCTCTTTAGTTCATCTATTATAGTAGGTTTAGATACAACACCAAAGAACTCTTTCTTTGCTGGGGAGCCTGTGTCTATTTAGGCAAAAATTTAGGAAGAGCAGGTCTCCAGTGTCTGCTAAGGGCACCTCACGACATCTTCGTTTCTATCCACTGGAATCACAGACAGCAGAAATCTCCATCAGAGTTCAAAACCATGTGTTTTTATTCTATGCTTCCCCCCACTTCTTTCCTTTGGGAAAAAGAAGGAAACTATAGTAACATGCTCATTTGTAGAGTTTGTTTTTGTTTTTGTTGTATTGCGTTGACAGCCCAATATGCCTTCAACTCAACCCAATGAGAACACAACTGCACAATGAGAAGTACTGCTCAGAGTGATGCAAGATGCAAAATGGTTACTCTCTAAAGTGTGAAAGCATTTTAACATGATCTAGAATTATTTTCTGCATCAAGGCCAGAAATGAAAACGGTTATGTCTGAAAGACTTGTGTGAGGCAGGAAATATATTTAGGTAAACTAAATCCTCTATTACTTGAGCACTCCAGTGAGCAGTGTTTTACTTCAATAATGTAACCATAGAGAATAGGGATTGAGGTAATAAAAATTTAACAAAAGTAGCAGTTACTATTGTTTTGGAGCATATACTTAGTGACAGGTCTTTTATTATAGCAGTGCTATGAGGTAGGTTTTCTGATAGGAAAATAAATGCTTACAGAAGTTAGATGGGTCCCAAGACCAGAGGCAATCCCATAGCTCCGGGGGCCTCTGGAGGCCCTGCTCCTTCCACAGGGGGAAGCTGACCTCCAGTCCCCCAGAGGCAGCAGAGCTGGGGGAGACCGAGCACAGCAGGGCTCATTTCTTCTGGGTCTCGCGGCCTGACGGGGCAGCTGTGTGGCCCGCATGACTTTCCAGAGAAGAGCGTGGTGTCATAGGCCATCGCACAGTCTGCGGTTGTCTCCCCAGACCACCCTGCAGAGCAGTCTTGGTGCTTTGAAGGCGTCGTTTTATTTATGGACTAATGGGGCTGCAGATCAAGGGGAAAAAACCTAAAGGCTGGTTTTATTTAGCATTTATTCAAGAAAAACACATGACTTTATAAGGAAGGGAATGGAAGCCCCATCTCCCAACCTCAAGGAGAAGCATCATTTCCGAGGGGATTAATCAGAACATTCTGTCATCCCGGAAACCCCCACCTGCCAAGGCTGACCTGTTATCCTCAACCAAGGAAAACACATGAATCCTGGTGAATGGGAAGGCTTTAGGACTCTCCATCCAGTGGGGTGAGGGCACAGGCACAGAACACGGGCAGAAGAGAGCTAAAATGTTGGCAGGAGGATGGAGACTCAAGAGCTGGCCCACTAACACTTAGCCTTCACCTCGTTCTCATCATTCCTCAATTTTATTTTATTTTTTGTAATTTATTAAAGCCCCTTCTGGCCATCTTGCTTCTCCCCTTTTTAAAAAACAAGCATTTTAGCCCTGCTTTTTTAAAAACAAGCATTTTAGCCCTGCTGGTGTGTCTAAATGGTAAGCATTGACCTATGAACCAGGAAGTTCTGACTCCTGGCCAGGGCACATACCCGGGTTGTAGACTCGATCACTGGTAGGGGGTGTATAGGAGGCAGCCAATCAATGATTCTCTTTCATCATTGATGGTTTTTAAAAAAATATATATTTTATTGATTTTTTTATAGAGAGGAAGGTAGAGGGACAGAGTCAGAAACATCAATGGAAGAGAAACATCAATCAGCTGCCTCCTGCACATCTGCTACTGGGGATGTGCCCATAACCAAGGCACATGCCACCAACTGGAATCGAACCTGGGACCCTTCAGTCCGCAGGCCAAGGCTCCATCCACTGAGCCAACCTGGTCAGGGCTCATTGACGTTTCTATGTCTCTCTCCCTCTCCCTTCCTCTCTGAAATCGATAAAAATATACTTAAAAAATTAAAAACAAGCCTTTTAAGGGGGGTTGTGGCATGGTGGAAGGGATGCCGCCCTGCCGCCCACCTGCAGCCTCCTCCTTCTCTGACTCAGTTTTGTCCCAACCCCGAGTGGGTGCTTCGGTGGAAATGATATCACTGGGAGACTCGGTGTAAGTCAGTTTCTTCTGGCTCCTTCATCTTCCTTCATCATCTTCAGTAGCTGGGCCTAATCCTCAGGGCCCAGCTACTGAAGGCAGCGCCTCCGTTAGGTCAGGAGGCGTGTGAGGCTCAGTGTGGGAGCAAAGGCCCTTCTTCTCCCCGCTGGTGTTGCAGACTCGGCCTGAAACAGCTGCCTCCGAGTCTGCAGAGTGAGGGCTTGGGTATGGCTTCGCTTCGGAGTTCAGGTTGTTCCTGAGGTGTGAGAGGCTCTTTCTTGTCACCAGGAGCCCGACACCTCCCACTGGGAGGAGATAGGGAATTTTCAAGTGTGTGAAGTAGGCTGAGGGGTGTGTGTGTGTGTGTGTGTGTGTGTGTGTGTGTGTGTAAGTTTCCTAGGAGATCCAGTTTTCTGAGGGATGTAGAAGCTATAGAGAGGATAGAGATGTAAAAAACAAGGTAGGGTTTTCTAAGGAAGCAGAAAGGGGAGAGCTTTCGAGCACAGATGCCAACTCCAGCTCTTACAAAGAGAAGAGAAAGGACCAATAGCCTAGAAGGGTAATGAGGAAGCTCTCTTTATTTTTGTTTGGCTCTTTCTGTGCCTTTGAGAGTAGGTGACGATGTTGCCCAGCAGTGACGATGTTGCCCAGCAGCTCTTTCCAAGAGCTGTGTGTCCGCCCTCCTCCTGGCACCCCCACCGAGGTCCGCCGGCACCCTCACCTCTGCCGGGCCCGTGCACTGCAGGTCTGGACGATCTGCCCACCAGGTGGAAGAGGCCCTCATCCTTGACTCCCGACCACGGTCTGCTCCGTTCCCTGCCCGCCCTGCCCCACGGGCTCAGCTCTCAGTGCATGTCTGACCACTTAACATGACGGTGCTCACAGGTACTTTCTAGAAGGAGGCTTCTCTCATGGATGCCTGGCACTCGGGCGTCAGGATTCCGGGAAAGAAGCAGCTCTGACCTCCTTAGTAGTGAGCTCGGGTGTCAGAGTGTGACGGCGCGTCACCAGCAAAGGGGAGAAGCTGGGCTGGAAATAGGGTTTGGTGGAGAATCACAAGTGGCCGGGGGAAGGCTGGGCCTCGTGTGAGCTACAGGGGAAGTAAGCCCGCGTGGCAGCAAGGGCAAAGCCCCGATCCATCTATCGGCGTTGCTCTCCTCGTGTTGTTA